CGTAACTGTGTTTTTATCAAGCGTTTCAGTGAAAGTGCATTTAGAACTGTGTCACGAGTTGCTCGTATTTTCAATTACGGTCTGCTTGTTTTTCAAAAAAGAATGCCTGAAGCACACTGACCGTCACAATAGCTGTCCACTCTCTGCAAGCACTCAGATGTTACCAGTCTCAAGTCATTATGACGGGTTGGACAGCTATTATATGTAACGGTGTGTGACAGGCATTCTTCGAAAAACAGATTATAATACCTTAACTGCGGAAAGTGATTGAGTACTTACAACACAGTTTCAGATTAAGATTTTTTACCTCTACAAAATATTTTACTTCAAATGAACTTTAAATAATCTTTAATAAAAGAATTAGGTAAATAAACACATTCTTATTTCAAACTTATTCGAAGTGAAAATGGACATTTCTTTTATTTTTCATTGTATCTTTGCTATACTTTTACCGGTTTTTTTGTACAATTTTTCTGTTAATATATCATAACTTTAAATTCAATATTCTTCAAATAAGTTTTAATATTTTATAGACATCATAGGTAGAATTTCATTAAGCGCAAGTCCTGTTTTAAGATTGTTGACAAACAAAAATAGCGTCAGATAAAATGAATATACTAAGTACTTATTCAGATTATCATTCACTGGTTGTACGCTAATTCATAGCACGTTTAAATAAAAATAGACTAAATGACATAATGCTTGGACTGATTCTCATCGGTAGAGTTTTCAGAATCGATTGTCATAGGGGTACAATAGGAGACATAAATTTCAAATCTTTTTTTAGTACATGAATCATTAAGAGAATTTACATTGTTGTTCTAATTTCGGTTGCGAAGAAAAGCAGAGTGCTGAACGAAGATCTTTCTATCTGTCCTGCATCAGCAGTCGTGCGTGCAAATGGTCGAAATTGCTGTGACATCTATAAATCGTTTCTACAGTTAGAGTTATGTCTTTCTCAGGTTGAAAGAGTTTAGATTGACTTGCCGTAGAACTCATTGGTTCGGACGTTTTTGGTTGATTTTGGACGATTATTTTAAATTAAACTCCATTATTTTGACTAATTATTGTAATTTTACAATTCATCGATAATGCTCAACAATATGCATTAAAATGAACATCATATGATATTTACCTTAGTGCGTTGTAACTTTACTTTCAACAAAGATATATGAAAAACTTAATA